CTCAGGTAAAATGGAGCCTCCATTAGCTTGCAGGTAAAATGTTTGGCTTAGTGAAATGGGAAAGGAGGATGCCACATGCCTGGTCTCCTCTAATGTTCTTCTGTTTTCTGACTGCTTCATGGATTTTTTAGAGTTTATTAGTCGTCTAATTAACTAAAGTTGTGCTGTTATTATACATAAGGGCTGTGTCTACATTGGCACCCCTTTCCGGAAAAGGGATGCTAATGAGACCAGTCGGAATTGCAAATGCCGTGGGGGATTAAATACCCCCCGCGGCATTTGCATGAACATGGCTGCTGCTTTTTTCCGACTTGGGGTTTTGCCGGAGAAAAGCACCAGTCTAGACGGGATCTTGCGGAAATAAGCCCTTTTCCGGAAGATCCCTTATTCCTACTTTCAAGGGAATAAGGAATCTTCCGGAAAAGGGCTTGTTTTCCGCAAGATCCCGTCTAGACTGGTGCTTTTCTCCGGCAAAACCCCAAGTCGGAAAAAAGCAGCAGCCATGTTCATGCAAATGCCGCGGGGGGTATTTAATCCCCCACGGAGTCTACTCAGATAGTTATTCAGTCAATAGTAACTGGTAGCCAGCACTGGATTCTGGGCTGGTTATTGATGCAAAATGTAACATGCTGGAATTGTGGAGCATCTACCCTGGGCCTTGAAGACTAGCTTCCTCTTCTCCTTCCAGCCACATTCACAATTGCATACGTCTCACTGGACAAAATTGTGCCATTTTTACCAGTGATCCAAGTTCAGAACTGCTTTTGTGACTTGGGACTTTCTGGATACGTCTACACCGCAACGCTATTTCAGGATACCAGAGGAATAGTTATCCCGCGTCTTCACAGCAAGCCTTTTATTTTGGGCTCGCTATTCTGACATCCCTGTAAACCTCATTCTACGAGGAGTAAGGGACATTTTGGAATAGCACTTTATTTCAAAATTTGGCGCTGTGTAGACAGTACCCAATGATTAAATAAGCTATTTTGAAATAGCATCGAAATAAGATAACAATTTGTGTAGCTTGTATGGCAACTCTTATTTCAAGTCATGGTGCACTGTAGACGCATCCTTAGGAAGGGAATGTCCTTCTTGGAGACACACTTCTTTCCCAAACTCCCCAGCACACAAAGCTCTGTGCAGAATGGTCAAGCCTGCTTTTTTCTATGCAGCTGTCTCACTGCACAACTTGGTTTGGGGTCAGGAGAGGACCTAAGGGCCCTCCTGTTCCACTTATGATACCTGTGCCTTTGGGGCATATTGAGTGAATAGTCAGTTTTCCAAGTTCAGGGACTGTTAACTGTGATAGGCCTTTGCACAGGCCATAATGGTGAGAGAAACAGCTTCTTGTGTATGTGTGTCCCAAGCCTCCCATGGTCTGGCATGTTTATTTTACTCGGACTAGTCATGTCAGTATGTAGTGTTCAACATGAATAAGGGATTCAGAAAACTGGCCTGCAAGTAGGTGGGTGTGTGTAAAAGCCCAGATTTGAATTTGCTACTGTATATAAAGGGTTTTCCTTTGAAATTTACAAATACTCAGGTCATAACTATGTACCCTTCTCAGATACATTTCTTTTTTTTTATTTCCCTATGCTGCCACAAAACTGTTTCCCTAATGTACTATATAAAATAATAAAATATATGTGATCTAGCATCTGCAAAGACTGGTACAGCAGCACTGTGTTAGAGCTGCAGCCACAGCAGCGGTGTATATAGAATACATTTTTAAACGTCTGAATTCTTATGCCAAAAGAGTAGCTGAGTTCCAGTTAAAATAGAGCCTGTAGTGAAGAATTTAAAGAGTTTGTAATTTCAGTACATTTTACTATTTTGCTGTATTGGAAGGGTGTGTATTTGTGTATTTGTATAAAGGACCTGGTCTTACTAAAGTTAATGAGCATTTTTGCCCATGGGAACAGATGCAGACCCAATATTTATAATTTAAAAAATATTATTTTGGTGTGTGTTTGTTTAAAGGGATTTGATTGTGTTTCTTTTATCTTAAAGCCAAAAATGTAATTCTCTAGGCTGTTTGTGTGAAGCTGACTTCAAAAATGCAATTAAAATATAATATTTCAAATGTTTGAGCTACTTCTTTTACTTACATAGAAAATACCTTTGTTAGTTAAAGCTGACCAAAAGAAAAACAGAATAGAAAGTTTTAAGCTTGAAGGTCATTTCATATCAGGTTTATTTTGAGATAAATTATCTGCAACAGTATGCTTTGTAGCATTACCTGTTAGGAGAAGCTGGGGCTGCAGGTTTTTAAGTTCCCTCCTGGGAAGGAAGCTGCTGTACTTGCACCTGCATGATCAGTGAAGACTGCCTTCAACAGTGCTGATCAACTCCAATTCTATTCCTTACTTCCCCTCCCCCTAACTTCCAGGGGAATCTGTCTTTCCTGTCACTCAGGATAATGATTCCCTGCAAGCATAACCGAGATTCAGAAACTCACTGTAATCTCATCAAGAGTTTGATTCCCCAGCTGGGACTCTTGAATTTATACAACCAGAAGGTAGATGGTCATTGCACTTAAGCTTATGGATTGGTGTGCTGAGCCACCAGACTGGCTGAAAGATCTCTTTTCTCCTAAATATAGCCTTGTCCATTGTGAGGGTAAAAATCAAAGAATTTCGTCCCATAAATTGGGTTTGACCTAATTTGATCCATCTTGTCAATCCTTGTTTTTTGTTTGCTTTTGCTTTTTGCATGGTTTAATAATTAAAAATAGTCACAGCTGATTCCCAAGTCAGTGGCTAGTGCAATACATTTTAATTATACTATATGTTTAATTAAAATTTCCTGTGCTGATACAAAAGACCTTATCTTGTAGTTGTTTCTGAAGCACTGATATTAAACAGCAGCTTTGCCCTTCAGAAATATTATTCTGTGTGTTTAAAGGTCTGATTGACCTTTTAATCAGACGCTGCACCTTTACTTCCAGCTGATACGACAATGTCTGACAGAGTAACTCAACTTGATGCTGCAAGAAAGTAAATAAAGACTAGCTCAAACCCAGATATAAAAAAGTATTCATAGTAGAATACTTAAATGTTGCTTTCAAAGACAATATGTAAGTGTGATACTTATATGTGATTAGCCCATTCCTCTGAGGTTGATTTAGACATGCAATTGCTTGCTATTGTTCTAAACTCAAGCTTCTTTTATAGTCAACTTCTTTATAAATTATAAATTATATTAGCAGCAGCCATCTTACAAGTACACAGAACTCTGTGGATGGTCTAGCAAGCATATCATCTCTCTTCAGTATACTTTTGAAGGAAGCTGTGCTTAGCTTTGTTATTACAGGTACATACCCTAGAACTGAGTATGTGTGATAGAGAAAAACAGCAATTGTTATAGGGGACATAATCAATACCTATTTTGGCACATACTAACAAAGAACACTTGAATATTCAGAGCATATTTATACAATAACCAAACTCATTTTTGGAAGCAAATTTTTCAGATGATTTATTAAAACTTTAACTTTCATAGACAGAAATAAGATATTGAATAATTTAGATTTCTGATTACACAGCAAAAATTCTTTCCTCTCTGATATTTATGTGGGAATGAATGATAAAGATAAAACAAGAAGAACTCTGCTTCCGTTTTATTCCCTTGCCATATTTATTCAACTGATTTAATTTTAAGTATTTCTACAAGGCGGCCTGCAGACTGTTTGAGCCTGGTTATTATAATTGATTACTTTTGTGGTATGAAATGTTTGCCGTGGTAATTATCAGTTTTGTGGAACTTTGAAAAGATGCCTTAACTGAGATGACTGATTAGCGGTGCCTGTAGTGCTGCATCCACTAAATTTTCTGGGTGCATGATTTATTAGCTGTATTTTGTAATGGAAACATTTTATTTTGTAAAAGGGCTCCATTAAAAATATAACTTAAAGACTTCTTCTTTTCAGTGGCATTCTTTAACTAAAGCATCAACATAGTCTTCAAGAATTATTTCAACACAAAGGCATTCATTATAGTATGAATAGAAATGGACCCCATGGTCCAGTCTTTTGGGATGCTCTGTACCACCAACCCATAGTGAATTCAGAGAGAATTGAGGGCACATAGTACCTCACAGAAACACTCAGAATTTTGCAAGAACAAGGCTTAAGTTATACTTTATACATTTATAACTGTAGGTTATACTTTATGGCTGTTAATGATAGGTCAGTGTTTTCAAACTTGGGTGCAAAAGCTGGGTGTTCAGGGGCTGATTAAGGCATTTAGAAGAGAGTGGTGTAGTTTTCAGAAGTACTGACTGCTTGTCTGCAGTGGGAGTTGTGGGTAAGCAGAACCTCAGGGAAGTAAGCCATGTTTATTTAAAGCAGAGATCCAGGAAAGCATTTCTGCATGTGCTCAACTTTAAGCAAGTCACTCTTCTTGTTGAAGGCATTTGTACCATTTACATGCTTACAGGTCCAGTTCTAGTGATTTTCTGGAATAGAACCTAAGTGCTAAAATCTAGAATAAGACTGCCAACTTGAGGTTTGAAAATGTTGCCCTATTCTCCCAAGACATTAGCACAGGTGCATCATTTCACAGTGCACATTACGATTGTCTTCATTATTCTTGCATTAAAAGTAATGTCTTGCTAAAGTGTGCATCTACAAAGCCCCCCCATCATAAGCATACATCCAATAAGTCAGCAGTCAAAAACCTTTTCAAAATGGTAGGGTTATTCTATGACTACTGTCCATTTTTCCTGCTATACATTCTAGATTTTTATAATTATGTTTTAATTTCCATTATTGTTTAATTAATAAGGAAATAGTACAAAGTGTGTGTGTATGTATAAAATCCTGAAATGGCACATTCTCAGAGGAAGGATGTTTCTATTAATTGTTGAGTTATATGAGGCATCATATTATAGCCAGATAAATACAAATATGGCTGAAATATAAAGAAAAAACAAGAAGAAATCTTATTTATTAATATCTCATAAAAAAGCTTAACTTGTTTTCTTGCTTTTTTTTTTTATAGAGAACACCTGTTCCCAGCGCTGAAGCATTCCGATGGTTCTTTTAAGCAGTAGTTTATCTTATTTTCAAGACAGTCCGAAGTGAATGGCAAGCTAAAGTCTTGTTTTAAGAAACTGCTTAGTCCACCATTGAAGAATATACTCAGATACTATTTTCATTTATGTATAGGGGTTTCCTCAAAAACAAAACATAAACAATCTGGGAGGCTGGAGAATTGACCAGTTTATTCACATTCAGTACACTGAATCTTTATTTGATGTAATTTAGCTATACTAGTGAAGTTGTTGTCTATTTTTAAAGTGGCTGTAAAAAAAAGTTTGGGTAAACCCCTGCTATAAAATCATGTATCTTTGAAAAGTAACATATCTATACTTCATTTTCAAATATATGTGTTTCAGTACTGTAAACTGTACAGATAGCAGCTTGTATTTTGTGTGTTTAGACACAAGGAGACAATCATGTCTGAGCATCTATGGAGATTAACAGTTTGTACACAACAGTGTGGTTCTGCAAGTTAAATCTGGAGCAATAAATTCTAGCTTTAAATATTATTTTGCTGATTATTTAGCAGCAGCACTGTTTTACCATGCATCCTTCCATAGAGACTTGATGCCAAGTTTTATAAGATTAAAGGATTATGATACATCTAGCAATTACCTTCAGTTATATTGTTGTAAGAGGGGAAGACATAAGATCTAAAATCAGTCTTTTTGAGCACTATTTTAGAGTAGTGATTGTGCACTTGCGTTACTTCCAAAAGAGCTTTACAGAAAGTTATCCCTCCAAAGTAACACACCGTAGTTGACTTGCTTTTGACTGTACTGTAAGGTGAAATGCGCAGCATAGATGGACATGTGAACATGAGGAGTGAATAATTTATATATAGCGTGTTCTAGCATACACAATGAAAAGAGTACAATATCTGAGAAAAATCTTATCACTCAATGTATTTACCTTCCCACAAAGAGTTGCTATGTAGGTTTTTCAATAGATGGAATTAAAATTTTATAAAATATATGAAAATATTTTCGCTCCATGTGCAACATTTAGTGATTAGAGTTGTTTATAAAATTTAGACAGGCTTGGATCTCTCCTGCAGTTGTGCAGGCCATCAGAGCCTGGGTATTTTTTAAATATATAAGAAAACCCCACATTTTTTAAAGAGTAACTATTTGTCCCCGTGCATCTTTCTTTATCCACTGATCTTGGCCTTGCTGAATCACTGGTGGTCCTTTGGGCTCCCAGTGAAATGCTTTACCATTCTTTCTCCTGTTTAGGTATACAGAACATTTACTCAAAAGGGCAGAGCTTGGAGTTACATAACTCAGATGTAATACAAGGATATGAAGCATACTGAGCTTACGTACACTTCATACAGATTACCTCATCACCTATTTATAGCTCAGCTTTGTTTTCACTCATATGAAAAGGCCGTCCTACGCAAGTAAGAGAATGCTGCTCCACCATGTATTGAATGTGTTTGTTTCTTGTATACATGATAGAACGATAAATGCTGGTAGCCTTGCAGAACAGAACAGGCTAAGGATGCAGTGTGTGTGCCAATAGCATAGCATATCAGCACTTTCTCCATTATCTGCTAGTTGTTGCACACTGTTGGCACATGATCACCCTCACTTGCTTGATGAATCCTGGGGAGCTAGAGAAGCAGCAGAGAGTGCAACTGTGGAGAGTCAGAGCTCTGGGAGAGCCTGAGGACTGAGGAACCATGGCAATGGTCAAGAAAACTAAGAGTAGTGGATGGCAGAAGAATCCTAGAATTGTCTGTGAAGAATCAAGGCTCAGTAGTATGAGGGGCTGGACAAGAGCCTTCAGAAGGCTGGTGTGTTGGGCTGGAGGAGTTAGCATGTGCATTCTAACCATTAGGGCTGACACCTACATCCCGGGTTCTGTGTAGCATGACATCTTATATGTAATTTCAGAAAATAAATGCTATCTTTCATGTGCTCCCAACATGGGCCCCCTCTTATAGTTTATAAAAGATCATTAATTACATAATCATAAAATAAGCTTTATATTCATTTACTTGGCAGCATTGTACCTGATGTTATTTCATTTAGGACTTTCTGATTAAGACCTCTGTTACTGCTGACCAATGAGAGCTACATAAGGTCTTCTTTACCAAATTAATTGATTTAAAAACTGAAGACTTATTTGCACATCTGGCTGGTGAGCTTGCCTTGTTTTTTTGGGAAAATAGTGATTGCTCTGACAGAAGTAGAGATAAAATTCAGTTGAGGCTACATTAGGTGTACAAAGATACTGATAGCAATGTACTTAATTGTCTAATACCCTAATGTTGCATGTCTTGATGTGGTTTTTTTTTTGTTTGTTTTCTTGTTTTGTTTTCAAGAACTGATGGATCTGTATATGTAATTGTGGTGTTTTACATGTTAATTCAAAATTAAGAAAAGCAAACAAACCCGTTAATTTTTAAAATTGAATAAGGATTGTGTTTCTTTTATTCCCACTTTTTTTGTGTGTGTGTTAATGGACACTGTTTCTTTACATCACAAAGTTTTTATATTTCGGTAAAAATATTTATATGATGTAGTGCATAGAGAGAATTTTGTTTTTTGATGTTTCAAGAAGGAATTCCCTATTCTGTCCTCTCGCTTTCTCTCTCCTATATATGGTTTTTACATATTTATAAATCAGATTGTCAAGTTCTAATCCTAAAATGCTCTACAATATAAATTTTTGATTCCTTCTTGTGTTCTTCATTTTCACAATGCAAAAACCTCATTTTACAACTTTGAAGCCTTCTAGGTGTGAGCACAAAACATGCCCAATACAAAAAAGTTATTTTTATTATACCCCACATAAATCTATTTAATAATAATGTTGTGAGGGAGGCTCACGTATACATATGTTAATTAATAATAGACACCCTCTACAAGAAAGGAAATAATTCCCTTTTGTTCAGAACCCCTCGTATGTAAATTGTGCATTTAATGCTAAAGAATATAAAGTCTCTAAACTGGTTCTATCTGTAATCAAATAATGAAGAAAGAAAGTAGTTAAATGAACATACCATTCAGGGTCGAATACATTCAGCAAAAAGCGGTAGTGGGTCTTTGATCATGGTTAGATGCATAGTGATATCAAACAGTTGGTTCTCATGTAGCAGCTAAATGTTTCAGATTTTTGTTTTATTAAATTTGGCAGTTTCACACTGAGATCTACTGTATTGCTATTGAATAAAAGACAGCGCCTATGTTAGAAAGTATTCCATTTTCACAATTGCAGGGAACTGGGAGATTTTTCAGAAACATGGGCCACAAAAATGTACTCCTTTCACAGTGTTCTCCTATTTCTGAACTGTGCAGTTATCTATTAAATTTTCTAAAAGATATTTGTGTAAGGTGTATGTATGCTTGTGCAATTATGAAAAAAGCAGTTTTGGAAAACAGTGTATTTATTTAAAAAGTCACTTATGGGGCATGTACAAAACTGTATACAAACATTCAGTTTGCCCAGTAAAGTTGTTTTTGTGATATTTCTGTGTTGTTAAATAAAGGACTTTAGTATTCAAAATATCTCTCTTTTTCCATAGATAGATTTTTGTTTGTGGGATCTTTAACAATGAAAACATTATCCTTAGAAAACTAATCTTCAAAATAACCAAGAAGATGAAAATGTACCTGAATGAACATTACAAAGCTTTGGTACAATAGTGGCATAAAGTTTTTAATTTTCAATTGGCAGTTGATGAAAAAGTTGTGTACATGGAGATGACACAGTACAATTAATTTTTATGAGAGAAGACATTTTAATTTTAAAGATTGAAAATGTTACATTAGACTTTTGAGAATATGAAAAAATTACTGACATAGAAGCAAAGTAGATCAAGAAAAATAACTCAATAATACTGAAACATGTTTGTATGATGGAAGAAAATAATGAGGATGATACTTGACTGAATTATCTACATAGGAGAAAGTGAAATTTCATCCATAGTCATTAAAACAAGCAGTAATTCCTGAGAATAAAATGCCATTGTGTTACTGGAATATTTTGAACCATGAATATAGTTGGTTACAGAGCAGCTATAGCACTTTACCCTCATTTTACTACTTCTCAGTACAAAGTTCTGCTCTTCAGTTGCCTCATAAACTACAAGAAGCAGAAGAAACAGGTTCCTGCACATTGTAAATCCTTACTGTGGTTACAGACGTTGGAACAACTTCAAACATTTTTAAATGTTTTTGACTGCAGAATAGAACAACAACATATAACCAGGTTTTATGGAGTTTGGAATCATATTGTTCTGATGATATATTCTGATAAACATTGTGCCTCGGCTACAGCATCAAAAACTGATTGTTGAAGGTTCAGAAGAAAGAGTTAGGTAATTTGGTCTCAGAGTTTCTCTGAATACCCAGCAATTTTCCAACTAGATGTCAGTGTACTAGTTGGTTTTTTAAGTAAGCAACAAAATGAAAGGAATAGAGGCAGATTTTTCACTGAGCCAGCTTTCATTCGCTGAAATCTTTAAGGATATATGCTCTCTTGAGATTTATAACTCTCATTAAACAATGCACAGAGTGAATCTTGAATACAATTTGAATACAGAAAAAGGGCTGCAGGTTACTAGCAAAAGGCAGTGATCTCTAGATTAAATCTAGGATTCTGGTTGGAAAGGATACTCAGCTGGTGAGATGGTTGATTTGGAACTAGGGAAAAGTCTCTCTGTTCCTATTCCTTTTATGCTGTTTGTTTGAACTTAAAATGTTTATGGCAGAGATGGGCATAATCAAAAACATCCCTGAACTCAGGAAAAATTGAGCGTTGCTGTTTAGAACTGTCTCTACTTTTTGTAGTGTTTGCTTGCTTGCTTGCTTCTTTAACAAAGAAGGGTTTATTTTTTAAAGAAAAACATAAACTCATTCATGATCCCAGCATGGAGAAAGTAATATCCTGTTATAGGGAAGCTCCACTCTTATAAGAATTGACTGTTATTTGCTTTAACTACTAGCCAGTTCAGCTTCTGGCATGTTACTCCAAAGAACAATTTTGCAATTATTTTGCCTGATCATGCAAGGTACCAAGTGCCTGTTGTGAGGTTCTAAGCATTCTCTAACTCCCCGTGATTTCATTAGATGCCTTTCAGGATCAGGTCATAATTATAGCTCACTTTCACTTAAAAAAATACCTATTTTACTCATCGTAACTCTGAGGGCAAACACTGTCACCAATGCGTAGTCCTATGGTACCTTAGGCTATGTCTACACTACCAGGTTATTTTGAAACAAGTTATTTCAAAATAACAACTCCTGAAATAACTATTTTGAAATAAGTGTATTCCTCTTCACAAGCAGGAGTTGTTATTTCGAAATAACAAGCCCAGTATTTTGAAATAGGCTTGGTGGAGTGTGATGCACACCTTGTTATTTCAAAATAACTCCCCAGTATAGACATGCCCTTAGAGACTGGGAGCAGAGCTCCCATTCATGCCAGTGAGACTTATATGTGGCCCTAAAAACTAACAAGATAAGAAACACTTCTCACTGTCAATAAACTACAAAATAAGTAATAAAGACAGAGATTAATGGTACTACTTGAGGTGGAAGGTATTATTCAGCAGGGGAAAGGTGGTAGACACAGGTCCTAAATTAGTTTTCAATCTTTTGGTTGTGCAGATACTATTGTGATGATGAATATGATAAACAGGAAACTGGCTAGGTAGGTGCCTCTGAAAAGTGCTATTACATGAGATGCAGTCACTGAGGGAAACAGAAAACTGTAACCCTTTGCAGGGCTGATTTAACAATACTAAGTGAGATTTAACATTCACAAGTAAAACATTCCCATTATTTTTCTAATTGTTCATACTAAAGCAGGATGGACAGTCTCTGACAGCTTCATAATTTGAGGCCTAGATGTGACTATGATACTTTTTCTTTTCAGAAAAATGGCTGTGTTGAAGCATTTCCCTAAGGGGTTAATTTTCCAATAAAACTTGAATATACTTCCTGACCAAATATAATCATTTTTCAGTCACAGGGTGCGCAAAAGAGATCCCCTAATTGGAGCCCATAGGCAGTATAAATCAGGTTTGGTTTGTAAAGTCAAGGATTGTCTTTACTGGAAAGGAATTCACAACAATTCCAGTATAAAAGTGTGCAGATACCATGATGAAAAACAGAACCTGAATTAATTATTCAGTGTGGTTCTGTCTGGTTTCTAAGGCATAAAAAGTTCACCCAAGAAGAGAATTTTAACCTATACACTCTTATTCCTTTAATGCTTCCCTCTTTACAAAGTTAATAACAGGTGGTTACACTAACTGTCTGCACCTCTCCCAGGGAGCACAATTGGGAGAAATATAACTCTTGCTTACCAGCAAGGGAGACAATTTATGTTGGGGGAGGGGAGGAGAGAGAGAGAGAAAGAAAAATTAACCCAGATCGAGGACTCCTGTTATTTGTCCAGACTTCCTGACATGAATTCCCTCTGCACCAGATGTAACATGTATGTGCACCCTTAGCCAGGGACTGTATACTTAAAAAAGACCAGCACTGAAATGGACATGAGCCAATACACATCCTACCTCTCTCTTCCTCACTCATACACATTATCCTATACATGCACACCAGTGAGGGACACCTTCATCCTCTCTCACACGTGTTATTTTGGAAGCCTGGAAGAAAGAATTATGGATCGGGTCTGCAATCCACGAGATGCAGGAAAACCTCCTGATGACCATGTAGAATACTAGGTGATCTTGATCTGAAAAAATGAAGGTACATTGCATTGATTTGTAAGGTAAAGCAAGATAATGACCTAGAACATTATCCCATTTGACATCTTTTGCAACCCTCCCCCCGCCGCATCTTAGTTCTGAATCTCTGAGGCCAATGGGCTGAAGGAGAAACACCTTGGATTTTAAGTATAATTGGTCTTTCATGTGCCTACATTTTGCCACCCACACCCAGAATTTAGTAGTTAATCTGATCAGCTGAAATATTAAATGAGAATGTATTTGTTCAAGACGGTAACTAAATTAGGAGATGTGGTTACATGCATCTAGTGCCCAAGCTACACTGGAGGATTATAAAATAAATAATGGCTTTATAGAAAGTTAACACTGTGATTTGAATTATTGCTTGCTAATATTCTACTCTTACTTGTTTAGCCTTTAATGCTGAAGGTTTGCGTTGCTTGAACTGATTTGTCTTTTTTGATGCTGTGCCATGTGATCTGCTGATTAAGTTTTGTGAGCAATCATAAATTCCAGCCTATGGCTAAGTTGGTGTATTTTTATCCATTGTTCATTCATTTCTTATGGATGGAAGAAGAGTTTTATGGGTTAATAAATTTGGCCCTTGATCTGGATTAAAAGTGTATGTATGTCAGTTCTTTCCTGATTTTAAAATCTCCCAAACATATGGGACATAAATCTGGTGCAGACTTCAATTCGATTTAACCAGATTTCTGTAATTGTCCCCACAGATGCTACCAGTAGTAAACTCAAAAATACCAATTGTAATTGAAAACCTTATTTTCAAATTCATTTCACATTTTATTCAGCATGAGGAGTGTCTCCTACCTTTTTTGAACTTTCAGATTGTAGGGTTGAGAAAATAGGATTGGAGTTTGCTTTTAACAGGCAAACCTCATGCCTGTTTCATAGATCTTCTTTTTTAAATACTATAGCATGCAAAAAGCAACTTCCAGCTCAAACAAATTTAGCACAGAATTTACCTACCATGTATTTTGATTCACTAGTAGAGCTGGACTACAAGAGTTCTCATTCGAATATCAATGTAACGTAGAAGACATACAAAAGTCTTCAGTTTTAGAAGGCAAAGGCACAAATTTGTGCACCATCCAGCACCTCTGAAGTCAGCAGGACTTCGTAGAGTCAAATAAAATTGTTGTACTGTAAAACAGCAATAAAAAGTAACTGCTAGAGGACTGGAGAGTTCAAACAGCTACTTCTGGCAGGTGTTGCTTTTTTTCTTGTAAAAAGTTGGTTCAAACACAGCCACGTTGGTAGTAACCAAAATTAATTACTATATAAAGGCTGTTCAGTGCTCAGACCATTTCTTACTAGACAAGTATCTTAACAGACAACCATTCCTACATCTGGGAATAACTAATCAGAGAGGCCATGGGTTGCCTGTCAAGAGAGACACAGAGATTAAACAACTTTCTCCTCTTTAGAGGTTGGGCCTCCAGAATAAAGTTGGTAGGGCAGATGGGGGAAACATGCCCTGACACCAACTATGCTGTATTAACTGTTCCAATTCTATGGATAAATAGAAATCTTCAGTCTCTTTATCTGTCAAGCTGGCTTGTGTTTTATAAATGTTACATATGAAACTCTCATAAGAATGTTAAGATTGCAAAGTCAACCACTCAAAAGTTAGGAAGTAGCTAGGGTCCACTGAGACAATACATAAGGACAGTTTTGGTCAACATCACATAGGGTATGTCTACACTACCCCGCTAGTTCGAACTAGCGGGGTAGTGTAGACATACCCCACTTGCAAATGAAGCCCGGGATTTGAATTTCCCGGGCTTCATTTGCATAAGCGGGGCGCCGCCATTTTTAAATCCCTGCTTGTTCGAACCCCGTGCAGCACGGCTACACGGGGCACGAACTAGGTAGTTCGAACTAGGCTTCCTAGTTCGAACTACCATTACTCCTCGTGGAATGCACGGGGTTCGAACGAGAAGGGATTTAAAAATGGCGGCGCCCCGCTTATGCAAATGAAGCCCAGGAAATTCAAATCCCGGGCTTCATTTGCAAGTGCGGTATGCCTACATT